ATTTCACCCAATTTCAAGTAGTTTTAATCATCATACAAGCTTTAGAATTAATCTCCAACATAAAAAGCATAAAACTCTTTCATCAAATCCTCAAAATCAACAAATCCTACATAAACCCTAATTTCCAAACTCATCATATAAGCATGATCTCCATGTAATATTTATATCAAATGATGGAGAATCTCAAGGCGTTAATTCTCTATCTAATAGCTTAATCCAAAAATCAATCGAATAAGCTTAAAAATGGACTTGAAAATTCTTACCTTAATAGCCATGGTTGTTCACGTTTGGGGCTGGAAGAAGCTGAAATTTTATGATTTTTCTTCAATTAAAACATAATACACTTGGTTTAATCTAATATAAATGAATTTAAAATTTTATCTGTGTGAAATTATCATTTTACCCTTAATAAAATATGATAATTTCAACTCGACATTGGAATATATTCCATTTTAATATTCCAAAGTCAAATATGACCAAATAAAAATCAACTTTCCACCTTTGTCCTTGCAAATTTTAAAAAACTACAATTTAGTCACTAAATTCTCCAATTAGCTAAATATGTAAAATCGACTTCAATTCCAATGATCCACATTAAATTTCACTTTTCCAAAATTTGGAAATAATATTTCCAACCTTTATCTATCATTCTTCAAATTTTCTTAAAATTTTTAATCTGATTATCCGATTTTCTTTCAGACTTTACTACTTTATAGCTTTTATACAAATTCTGGATCAAAATTCTGATTCCCACAAAAACGTCATTCTTGAGGTTGAACTATTCATTTACGGGGTTAAAATACCTAACTTTTAAAAATGACCCTTTTGGTCTCTGAATTTTTCCAACTTTTTACTTTGGCCACTAAACTTTCAAAATTTATGTTTTGGTCACTAACCAAAATTTGGGGTATTACAATTCTTCCCCTTTAAGAAACATTCGTCCTTGAATTTTTAACACATATCTAATGTAGATAGATGAAAATACTATTTTTCATACCTTGTGCTCTTTTCTTTTTAAATCTAAACAAAATTTTTGTCCATCAACAGTTATCTTGAGATTATCTTAAATAATCTTTACCCAAAAAATTACATTCCATTGTAATTCATTCCCATCCCTTTCCCATTCCCACTAAGGGATGGAAATCGCTTACAACAATCCAGAAGACACTTAATGCTCTACTTTAACTTATTGACATGACATGCATTTAAACAAACTTGGTCATAACTCTTTTCATGCCTACCGCTAGTATCGACTCTTTCCTCGATACTACAGACATCCATTAACTCCGGGGTCTTTGGTTTCACCTTTTTCTACTTATCATGTCTTTTACAAGCACTTTTCATCATTTCTTTGAAGATCCTTTATTAAATCTAACAACATAGGTTTTAACTTTAATTCTGCAATCAAAGCATTGTCTTTCTTTAAAGACAATCACATATTCAAACTCTCATAACAGAAATGTCTTTCATCTTTATTGTATCATTTACCATATTAACCTTTCCTGGTGGTAATCGATAAGCACATCATCGTTCTTTAAGGAATTCAATCAATTCCTTTATTTTCAATTTTTCAAGTTAACACATACTTTTGTCTTTTGATATCAATATAAAATAACATCACTCACCGACGGTATATCTATGAAATCAACATAACTCATGCTAACTCAAGATCATGAGTCATATAATTTCTTCCTTGATTCTTAATTTCTATAAAGCATAAGTTATAACTTGTCCTTTTGTATAAACACATCCCAAATCATTACGAAACACATCATTATAGATCACATAGTCTTTTCTAGATTGGATTACATATCTTGAAATTTTCTTGTCACCTCTTAATCTAATTGAATAAGACATCTTTTCTCAATAGCTTGATCAGAGGGGAGACAATCATCGAAAAGTTTTTTTTACGAACCTTCAATAATAACCAACAAGTCCCAAGAATTTCTAATCTCAGAATCACTCTTTGGAATTTATCATTCGACTATGGTTTGTACTTTCCTAAAGTCTATTATTATCCCCTCAGATAAAAACACATACAATTCTTTCTCTCTAAGAGTTGTGAGAATCATGCAAAAATGTGCACCGTATTCTTCTTTAGTCTTAAAATAGACCATATTATCATCGATGACCACTACCATCAATTAGTCATAGTATAACTGAAATACTCAATTTATCAAAACCATAAACGTTGTAGGAACGTTCGTTAAATCAAACGGCTTTACCATAAACTTGTAGCATTCATATTGAGTCCTGAAAGCTTTCTTAGGATGTTCTTCTTCCTAAATCTTTAGCTGATAATATCTAGATCGGAGATTAAATCTTGGAAAACATCAATGCACCTTTTAACTGATTAAAAGATCATTAATCCTCGGAAAAAGATACTTATTTTGATTGATAATACCCCATTCATAATTGCATAGACTATCTTTCTTTTTCACAATTAACACTAGTACATCCTAAATAACACGCTTGATTCTGTAAGTACTCGATCTTAACAATTCTAATAATTACACCTTTAATTTTCTGGTCTCAATCAGAGTCATTCAATACGAAGCTATAGAAATAAATGCAGTACCTGGTAACATCTCTATTTTATATTTTATACCTTAATTTGGAGGTAATCCAAGTAACTCTTCTAGAAACATATCTGAATAGTCTTAAATATTTGGAATCTCTCTTGACCTAACCTTAAAATTCTACATATCCTTCACAATGATTAAGAAGACTTAACAACTTTATAACAACAACAACTTGACAGTTACTGCTAAAATCACAATGGTACGAAGAGAATTCAATATATTATGAAACAAAGTATTCAATATTATAAATTTAATTGAAGCAAAGTTATCGTAAATTAAATAAACTAACAGAAAGTTGCTTTCAACTAATGTTTCCTAAATAACAATAAGAGATTTCAAGGAATTGAAACAATGTTAGGGATTCCATACGCATAATTAAAATATGCATAATCACTAAAACTTATTCGTGGATTGAACTACCCTATATAAAAATTTGAATCAGCAGCATGCGATGAAATTAAAGCAAAGTAGAGAGAAATTTATCGCAAAGTGAAGGAAGATTATTGCATAGTTTTACTCGAAGTTTTAATCTCCTAAATTGTTAATCCTAAAACCAATTGATTCTCAATGATTTAATATGATTTGACGATGATACCACTTATTGGAATCAAACCATAATAAATATGAAAATTAACTAGGATCTAATCATGTCAAATTATCAAGAATAAAATATTAGATGCCGAAGTGTACCTAAATTAATTGATAGGTTGAAATCATTGAATATTTATTCAGTTGTAATCTTCCAAGAAGATAGAATTCTCTTGAATATAAACTCTATGATTAGATAAGAGAAAATACAATATTATATATTTCTTGGGGACCATAACCCCTTTATATAGTTGATTTAATTGTCGGTTATCGATTGTACTTATAACTCTGTCTCTCATCAAATTATAAATACAACTTTAATTGTATTTACATTTTTATTTCCATGATACTTTTAATATCTTATGATTTTATAACATAACTGATCACTTAATTTATGTCATATTTTATGATAACAATATAAATTATAAATTTGTGATCATAATTATGGATTTTAATCTAATTTAATCCAATAGTTAGGGACACAATAGAGTCCTTACCTATAAAGATATATAACAATTACGAGAGATCTCATTTTTCAAGTATTCAAGTGTTGTTAGCTAAGGGATCGATCTTTCGAGGGAAGAGATCAATTCTTTTTGAAAAAGGATCAATCATTCGCGAGAAGTAATCAATCTTTATGAGTAGTGGATCGGTCCAATGGTTATTATGATCATAAGGATCTATCTATTTGTGAAGATATCAATCATTTGAGCAAAAAATCTTAGAAAACTCAACTTTTAAAAACGATTGTGCAATTATTTAAAAAAAGTCTGATTAAGTTAAAAAAAAATATTTAAAATGCATTTTATAAGTTAATTTGTAATTTGAATTATTTTTAAAGAATTTTAATAAATTTGATTAAGTCCAAAATCAATTTTATAATTATTTATTATATTTGTATCTGTTCTAAATACTTTCAACCATTTGATAACGACCACTCAATCACCCTGCTATAGTTGGTAGTGCTCGAACCCGTGATCTCTAGGAACAACAACAATTTTATTAACCACTTAGGTAAGTTGGTTACAATGAGTTGCTTACAACGAGTTGAGTATATCAATCTCAATCAAAAGCTTTATATGTATAAGATTTTTTGTCTCAAATAATTTTTTAAAGATACATTTTCAATAAATAGTTAAATTATATTTTAAGATATTATTTAAAAAACAATATAAGAATACTCTATGACGATATTATTTATAGGTTTATAATTTGAGTAGTTAATCACTCAATTATATTCTCAATCTTATTTTGATCTTTGAAATTTAATTTTTTTAATTTAATCATTCAACTTTCAAATTATTTCTATTTTAATCATTCTGATTTATGTTATTAATATTTTTATATGATATGATATTTATATACCATGTAAGATTAAAAGTTAACTGATATGTGGTTAAGGAAATTTAACTATTTCGAGTTTAAATTTGATTTTTTTATATAATATTTTGTTCAACATATCATAAAATTAAATATTATTTAATGATTTTATTTTCAGATTGAGTTGATATCATTTGATTGAGTCCTACTAAACTTAGTGGTGTAAATAAATATAGATATAGATTATAAATTCAATAACAATGAAGTACAATGACCATATTATCCCCCTAAAGGGCACTTGTCAATGTTTTGATATTTAGCAAAGTTGTAAATACAATTGAAGAGTTAACATCTAACCATGGTTAAGATTCTCAACCAATTATAACGTTCCAAGCAAAGTAATAAACCCCAATTGACGAGTTAAAACTTAACCATGGTTAATATTTCAAACCAATTATTAAAATCAAAAAGATGGTTAGGGCTAACAAGAGAAAAATTGCAAACGAAAAAAAAACACAAAGAAGAGACCCGTACCCCTAAATCTCTATTTGTCAAGGTGAAAAATAAAAGCTTTTTTATGGCTTTTGGTTATTAGAGGAAGTGACTGTCCAGATTTTGGGTTTTCTTTTTAAAAGGATTTAATAGAGAAAAGAGTGGTATCAAGGGAAACGAAAATTGGCGATGGAGGTATGTCCATGCTGTCTCTCTGATACAAAAGAATGTCCAATCTACTAGCACTGTTTTTATTGTAAGGTATAAATTTCACTCTCTTCTTCATAAGTTAATCACTTTAAGTAGTAAAAATTCTGGGTCTTGATTGTTGAATCGCGATCCCTCTTTGTTTGGTTTGAATATATATATTTTGTTTGCATAGGCCGAGTTAGAAGCTTGATTAGAACTTAGATCCATGGATATTGCTTTCGTGTTTATTTGGATTAGTTTGATTCTTAAAACGTTTCTTTATTCCCACTCGATGCATCATTGTCTACGATAATTGCTGGATAATTCATGTAGGAGAAAGTTCTAATGTTTTTTTACCCTGTTGTTGCTTTGCATTTTAAATGTTCGATGAATTACGTGACTGTGCACTGTTTGCACTTCAATTTGCTTTCCCTTTTTCTGAAAAATCCCCCTTTTTAATGTTTTTCTGCAGTGTGTTTTCCGTTAAGCTTTGGACTTTTTCATTTTTTTAAAGTACGTGAAGAAATCAGAATTTGAGGACTTGACAAGTGTAGGGTGGCTGAGATATTTGAGATTTCTCCGCTGGCGACTCTTTCATTGTAGAGCGACACTGAGAAAGGGAAATGGAGTGCAATAAGGATGAGGCCACTAGAGCTAGAGAGCTTGCTGAGAAGAAATTCACTGCAAAGGATATTAACGGGGCAAAGAAATTCGCTTTGAAAGCCCAGAATTTGTATCCTGGTCTTGAGGGTATTCCCCACATGATAGCCACTCTCAATGTTTATATTGCGGCGGAGAACAAAATCAATGGGGAAGCTGATTGGTATGGCATACTCGATGTGAATCCACTAGCTGATGATGAAGCAGTGAGGAAACAATATAGGAAGCTGGCTCTAATGCTGCACCCCGACAAAAACAAGTCTATAGGAGCTGAAGGGGCGTTTAAACTTATTTCTGAGGCTTGGAGTTTGTTGTCTGATAAGGCTAGGAGAGTAGCATATGATAAGAGGAGGGGTGGGAAAGTAACGCAAACGGTTCCAGCACCTTGTGGGAACTCGAAGGCTTCAAAAGCGACAAATGGTTTTTACAATGCCGCCAAAACAAGCACTTCAAGTGTGAAAACTTCCAAGAGTAGTAACCCTCATGGGGGTCGGTCTTCAGCCCCTTCTGTCCGCTCGTCAAATACTGCTGGTCAGTCGTCAAACCCTGCATCTTTCCATACGGCAAAACCAAATACCTTCTGGACTATCTGTCATCGATGCAAGATGCATTATGAGTATCTTAGAGTGTATCTTAATCATAACCTTTTGTGCCCCAACTGCCATGAGCCATTTTTGGCTGTAGAAACCGCTCCCCCAACTACATCTACCCCAACCCCTTGGACATTCTCACAGCAGCGGCAGAATTCAAATAGTCAAGCAGGTAACAAAAGCTCAAGTAATATGGGAAGAAGCCATTCCTCCTCTTATAATGCTGCGGGATTCACCACTCACGATTCATATAATCAAAGCAACTTCCAATGGGGTCCCTTCTCTAAGACCGGTGGTACTTCAACTGCAGCTCAAGCAGCAAGTGTGGTTCAACAGGCATATGAGAAAGTGAGGAGAGAGCGGGAGGAAGCACAGGCAGCAACCAAAAGGGAAGAGGCCATGCGGAAAAAGCATCATGGCTCTAAAAGGGCAGGCAGTGCTTCAAGTGGATATACTAATGCTGCAAAGAGAAGGAGAGGCATGGAAGATGGTAGTGCTGGCGCCCATAGAACTAATATTACCAATCAAATGGGTGTAGGAAATGGTGGTCCAGCTAATCTATCAGGATCTAATTTAGGCAGTTTAGAAACGGGGATTAATGGAACCAATAAGTACAACAATACAAGAGATATGTCCCAGGTAGAAACTCAAAGTATGTTGATATATAAGGCTAAGAGAGAAATACAAAAGAAATTGAATGAATGGAATTCATCACCGGCAGATAAGACTAAATCCAAAGATGTTAGAGGCAATGGAAATGCAAATGAGAAAGAGGACAAATCTTTGGTAAACAATGATGCATGGAATCAGAAAAAGGCTGTTGGTTTAGATGCAGAAACCTTGGAAGCAATGTCCATAAATGTCCCGGATCCAGATTTTCATGATTTTGACAAGGATCGAACCGAAAGATCTTTTGAAAATAACCAGGTATGGGCTGCATATGATGACGATGATGGGATGCCTCGATATTATGCCATGATCCATAGTGTGATTTCTCAAGATCCATTCAAGATTAGGATCAGCTGGCTTAATTCAAAAACTAACAGTGAATTCAGTCCACTTGACTGGGTAGGTTCTGGTTTCTCAAAAACATGTGGGGAGTTTAGAATAGGTAGGCATGAGATTAACAGCTCGCTGAATTCTTTTTCACACAAAGTTAGGTGGACTAAGGGGATGCGTGGAGCCATTTGTATATATCCAAGAAAGGGTGACGTTTGGGCTATCTATAGGAACTGGTCTCCTGACTGGAATGAATTAACAACCAATGATGTAATACACAAGTATGATATGGTAGAAGTACTTGATGACTACAATGAAGAACTAGGTGTCACAGTTATTCCCCTTGTTAAGGTTGCTGGTTTCAAGACGGTCTTTCACCGTCATCTCGATCACAAAAAAATCAGGAGGATTCCTAGAGATGAGACGTTTTGTTTCTCTCATCAAGTTCCTTCATACTTGCTTACTGGTCAAGAAGCTTTCAATGCTCCAAAGGGTTGCCGGGAGCTAGACCCAGCTGCTACACCGGTGGAACTACTTCAGGTAATTATGGATGTTAAGGATGAAGAGATTCTGGAAAATGGTAAGACAATTAATGAAGAAAATGTTGTGGATGTCGAAAAAGCCAACGATGAAGAGATGGTTGACTGTGAAAAAGCAAAGAAAGAAGAGGACAGTGGTTCTAAAGCTGGTGAAGAAATAGAAGTTTTAGCCGATGTTGGAAATACTTGAGAAGAAGTTTATACAATGGAGCTATTTATACAATGGAGTTATTCTGAGCAAGGCTGATTAAGTGAGTTTAAAAGTAGCTGGTTTGATATGAACAAGATTATATGGACTGGCAGTATAACTGGGTGGAATGGATGTAACAGATTGGTCGTCGAATGTTGTACTACATGAGGCTTTTACCTTGCGATGATCTACAAGATGAAATTCAACGAGTAGCTGAACAAAGTTTTGGGGGCATCCTGTTCATCGTGAAAGCTCATTTTGGTGCTAGTTCTGCTAAATGGAACTTTTCCGGGTTTTGAAAGCAGCAAGCTACAGATGCTCTTTTTCATTCTTGTGACCCTTTTCTCTATCACAGCTCTTCAACATGCAGGTCGTTGGCACACCTACTGTTTCAATTTTAGTGTTTTCCCTTTTTCCTCAGTTCTCTATCCTTTAGCGTTTAACAGTTGAGAGTTCATGGTTTTTTATGCTTGGCTGTAGAGTTGTACCGTTAGCTGAGATTAGAGATTAAATAACAGTGCAGATTGTGTGTTGGTACAGTTAATGCTTGAATATATTTGTAGTGATGATTTACTTCTTCGCACTCCCATCTTTGTTTCCAATATTAGGCTTTGGATTTTGTGTTCTGTTGAGGGGATCCGCCTCCTGTGAGTTTTATGTTAGGCAGTCGATAACAGACCCCTCAATTGGTTTGATATTATGTTCTGAGTGTGTAGTGTTCGGGTTCTTTTTATTAAGTAGAGAGGTATTATATTTCCAAGCAAATGTCGGGATTCGAAATCACACAAGATGATTAATGAATCTGTGAATGTTTGGTTTTTACCTCCGACATTTCATTTTTTAGGGTACCCTTGGAGGTGTTGAACCATTCAAAAATTTTGTTGCAAGAAACATATCACATGGAATCAAAAATCTGAAAAGTAAACTATTTTTTTTTTGACAAAGCCAATAAAGCCCTTGTTAAAAACTTCTTCTAAACTAACAAAGCCGATAAAGCCCTTGTTAAAAACTTCTTCTAAACCTAACAAGGGGAAAATTTTCGAGGAATTTCGAACTTTCATGTAAAGTGTTTAAAGTATGACCTGTCAATTGATCGTAGAATTTCATAATTGATTAAATGTATCATTTTTCAATCGATTGTAGAACTTCATAATAGTTCAAATATTGTATTTTTGAAGTGTATGTACTTGATTTTAACCCTATAATTTTACCTATAATCTTATCTCTTGAACACCTTATTATCCTTTTTTTACTCTATTTTTTGCAAATAATTAATTGTATGAAGTTTGAGATTCATTGATAATAGTGTAAAGTTTAGATCTAGAGAGAATAAGAGTAAGAAACGTAGAAAAAGAAAGTTTATAATTTTATATTATATAAAATCTAATTGTTATAATTAATTAATTATATAATTTAATTGTTAAATTTTAAGGGTAAAGTACATAAATGGTCCCTTGACTATAGGACATTACTTTATTGAGTCCCCGGATTATTAAAAGTTTCAAAATGATCTCTCGACCATAGGTCGTTGCTTTGTTGAGTCCCTCAACTATTAAAAGTTACAAAATGATCATCCGATTGTTTATTATGTTCCAAACTCGTCCTTCTCCATTAAAAATTGACGACGGTCTGAGTTGGATTTTAACATGCAAATTGAGATATTATAATATCTTATCTTAGAAGCTCAAAAGATTAATGTATCTTAGTCAACATGTTAACGTCTAACTCAGACGATCGTCAAACTTTTAATAGGAAAGGACGAGTTTGAAACATAATGAATAGTCAGGTGACCATTTTGTAACTTTTAATAGTCTAGGAACTCAACAAAGCAATATCCTATAGTCAATGGACTATTTTATAAATTTTAATGATTGAGGGACTCAACAAATCAACATCTTATAGCCGAGGGACCATTTGTGTTCTTTACCCAAGTTTCAAAATATGTGGACCTTTTAATGAATAAATTATTATACATCGTACTTTATTTAAGATTTAACCTTTTATAGAAGATAAAATGGACAGAGAGAAGTCTTAAGGCGGAAACGTCTACGTATCCATTAAACCAATTAAACCGCGCCACGTGTATCAAAGAGTTTCGGGACCAATCAGAACGAAGCCGGTGACGCAACTTCCGCGTAACCTCCAACTATAACTTATTTATCAGTTTTCATCGCCATATAAAGCGGGTGAATCAGCTGACATTTTCTATCATATCCGGAGATTTCTCGAGAAACTGAGAGATCGAGAGAGAAAATAATTCGCAGGGAATTAGGATAGCTTTAAATTTTCCTGCGTGTTATCGCTCTCGATTCATCTCCGGTTACCTGATCTATTCGTCACCATGGTGAGTTATTAATTTTAAAGAATTGTTAATTTGTTTGTTTTATTCAACTGTTTTAAGATTTTGTTTTTCCTATTCGTTCCATCATTATTGTCTGTTAAATATTATTCTTGATCTGCTTGTATCTGAATCGTTCCGATCTACGTTTTTTTGTTTGTTGTATTCTGTTCATTTCGAACCTGCCTGAAAAATCGACTGTATATTTCTTAGAGATCATAGATCTAAATTTACCACATTTACATGCCGTACGATTTGATAGTTTACTGTTTCGAAATCATTTCGATTAACTTAAAGTTTTTTGGTGTAAAATTTAGTTGCATTTTCTCTTTGTCTGAATATTGTATAAATGTTTAGATCCATTGCGACATTAGGCCCGTGCAGACCCTAACCCTATAGTTCCAAAAGATGTTTATTTTGTATTTACCAATTTTAAACTGTGGCTTCTACTTTCTGGTTTGGGCAGACAACATCAAGGCGTCTTGCAGAGAGGAAGGTGGAGAAGTTCCAAAAGAACATAACAAAGAGAGGAGCTGTGGCTGAGACTACTACAAAGAAGGGGAATGATTATCCTGTCGGCCCCGTCCTGCTTGGGTTCTTCATTTTCGTCGTCATTGGATCCTGTAAGAATTCTTTGCCGTTGAATTTATGTATTCGATATCTCTCTAATATAACAAATAACAGCAGCGTACGAACTTTTTTATACTAGTACGTTCAGAACGTCCAAGATGAGTTCTTGATCTTCGTTGATTTGTGCCTGCGTTCCTACGAATTATGTGCACTGTGCCGTGCTTGATGAACTGATCGAGTTCTTTTCATTCACTGTAACAGCTCTCTTCCAGATTATCAGGACTGCGACCGGTGGAGGCATGGCATAAATCTGCACAAGCAAATGTTGAGAAATTGCAGAGACTGTGCTCCTTTTCTGTTAGTTTTGTAGGGAATTGACGATACATTTACTAGAAATATGTTTATGTTGTGAAGTGTTCGAAATTTGAATAAATTAAACTCCTCCCGTTCCGTGGCTTTTCATTCTTTATATGCTACTTTTTGCCTACTTCATTCATGTGTGAATAGGATGGACTAAAATTCTTAAGCATCTTATAACAGTTGGCTGCTCATAGTCTGAGTTAAGTTGATAAAACTTTAACTAGATTCTTGTCAGGTCTGATCGGGAAAAAATTATCCGGTATTAAGTCGCATTGGGTTGAATTGAATTTGAAAATATTTTTTCCGACAACGGGTGGTTTACCTGATCTTTGGACACTTTAAATAGCTGAGTCGCTTTTTGTGTGTTGCACGTTCCGATCTAGGCTTGTTGGACCCGTTTGTTGACTCTGTGTCGTTTCCTTTGTTGCTAGACTCCCCTAGTTGGGATCGACTTGTCTATTCTCTGGTTCGAGGGATGCAAGGAACCAATTAGTAGCAGTATGTATCCCTGTTATTGTCTATTTTGTTGATGATCAACAAAAGATTTCTAATTAGTATATTAATTCACCTTATTTAAGCAGTCCTTTGTTGTATGTAACCAATCGGTTCATTTGACTCGACCTCAAGTGTAACATGAGCAAACCTTCGTTTCCCGAGCAAGTCATTCGAATGTGCTTCCCCGTCAAATTCTAAGCATCATACGTTTGGCACTGTGTCAGCCTCCTTCCACAAGAGCGTCAACTTCTGCAGCTCCCATATGCACACACAAATTTAGAAATTTAAAAATAGTCTAAAATTTTGATACTCATTTTTTAAGATAAAATGAATATATAAATTTTTGTTTTCTTTTTTTCTCATTCCTTAAATATATTAAACCAAATTTATTAATTTTTTTAAAAATAATGGAAATGCATTCAGCTCCCTAAATTCTATGCATCGCCCCGGACTTGGCTCCCTAGAAGACTTAATGCATCGGCCCGATGCGTTGACGTCAAGAATTCCATCACACCATACATTTGTTGGAAGGGAATTGACAAGACGTTGAGTACTTGACATAAAATGAATGATACGGATTTTAAAATAGTCAAAGTCTCGTTTTCAATTTCAAAGTTCGTTTACAATTTCAAAGTTAAAGTTTGGTGCTGGACGGATTGCTTGGCAAAATGGCTAAGTAAATGATGTGGGATTTTTTTTTATTATAATTCAATACGGTTATTATTTTCTCATTTAGGGTGAATTGTATAGTATTAATTCAAAGACGTCAGGTGCTTCACGTGTCTTTAAGTTAAATATAAAGACTCCACAACTGCATGACTCCTTCAGAAAAATGAAGAAAATTTTACGACTGCCTAGTGTCTTTAGACAAATGGAGAAAACTTCAAGAATATACGGCGTCTTTAACGAATAAGAAGCCATAGTTTAGAAAAAAAATACAATGAATACCTTATATGTGAAAATCATTTTTTCCACAACTCTATATGGGCGAGGAAGCCAGATTGCTTAGTGTTTCCTTGGGACCGTAATATGAAACAACCAACTCTCACCAAAAGAAGCAAATATAAATAATATAACATCCATATTCTTGCATTTTAATTGTTTATTTCTTACTTATAATCCCATGCACTATTCATGATTACCGGTTTATCTCTGCAATTCCACAATCCATTATAAAGCAAAGGCCGTGCCACTAGTCTTTAAATTCATTCCCTGCAATTCTTCGTATCAACTATGCAAACTCCGATGCACCTTTCCGAAGATGACGATGAACATGTTTTCCATAGCAAATACCAACCGGTTTCAGTTCCGGATAACTTGACGTTGCCAGAATTTGTTCTACAGGATGCTGAGTTATACGCCGACAAGGTGATAGTAACGAATGGTCCAAACTATGAAAAGGTGATGAAATCAAATGCCTGCAGGCTCCTTAAAGACTATGAAATCTAACAATGGCAAACATTATACTATATTTGGCATTACAAGTGAAAGATCAAGAGCCACCTGTCGTCGTGCTAGGTGAGGAGCGGATTGAAGGCGCCACGAATTGGTACGAGCTGCTGGAAACAGGGGATCGTGCCGGTACAGGCACCTGGTTTACAAGTGATCTATGTGCCCTTCCATTCTCATCGGGCACCACAGGGATTTCAAAGGGTGTAATGCTAACTCATAGGAACTTAGTGGCAAACTTATGTTCTCTCTCTTCAGTGTCGGAACCGAAATTATCGGTGAAGTCACCACATTAGGCCTAATTTCGTTCTTCTACATGTACGGTATCGTTGGAATTTGTTGCGCCACACTTAGGAACAAAGGGAAAGTGGTGGTCATGAATAGGTTCAATCTCCGGACTTTCCTTAATGCACTGATCACACACGAGGTTACATTCGCCCCTACTGTGCCACCAATAATTCTGGCCCTTGTTAAGAACCCCATAGTCGATGAATTTGATCTCAGTAAGTCCAAGAGGTGAGACCAATGTTCCCTTTTAGTAGTTCATGATTTGGCTTTTATAGTATACTACATGCTTATATATATGTGTTTTAACATTGTTTGCTACAAGACATGTGGACTAACCGAGCATAGCTGCATCACACTCACCCATGGCAACCCCATGAAAGACAATCACACTGCAAAGAAAAGCTCAGTTGGGTTTATCCTTCCTAATCTCGAGCTCAAGTTCATCGATCCCGATTCCGGTCGATCTCTTCCAAAGAATACCCCGGGTGAATTGTGTGTTAGAAGCCAATGCATAATGCAAGGTGCAATAACATCATTTGAAAACAAATTCAATTGACACTTAAATTTACTCTTGATTTTTAAGCTTACAGGCTACTACAAGAACAACTAGGAGACTGATCGATCCATCGACGAGAATGGATGGCTACACACCGGTGACATTGCTTATATAGAAGAAGATAGAGATATCTTTATCGTCGATCGCATCAAAGAGTTAATCAAGTATAAGGGTTTTCAAGTTGCTCGGGCGGAGCTAGAGGCCATCCTCCTTACACGTGGATGCAGCTGTGGTGCCTTAAGTACAAGCTATTTTTCTCAACACTCGTATCCAAGACACAGAAATATGATCATATCCGTGTCTATCACATGTACTCACTCTCGATCAATGCAAGTTGCCCGACAAAGAAGCAGGGGAAATACCGGCAGCGTGCCTCGTGATAAACCCGGATTCGAAAGAAACCGAAAGGGACATCATGGACTATGTGGCCTCCAATGTGGCACACTACAAGAAAGTGAGGGTCCTGTAATTTGTGGACACCATCCCAAAATCACCATCGGGGAAGATCATGAGAAGGCTTTTGAAAGACAAGATGATGGAAAATATGGGCAAAAACATTTCCAACACCTAAATTCAACATTTGCCAAAAAAAACTATATAATATATTTCTAAACTTAATATTTACTCATTGCTAAGAAAAAAATATTTAGTCTCCTAATCATGATTTATAATAGCAAACTACATTATCATTAGCATCTGTTTCTGGTTGGCAAAATCATGATTAACATTCTAAAATAATAATATAAACAAGTGGATAAGTTGGTAGAGCACAAGACTCTTAATCTTGGGGTCGTGGGATCGAGTCCCAAAGGACATTTCATAATTCGGAGGTCTCCTACGGAAGCTGTTCTCAACCTGACATTGGGGGCAGCCTACTATCCTACCTCCTCTTATCTCATTACATATGGGAATAAGGGTCAGCTAATTTTATCTGTTTCTGCTTGGCAAAATCATGATTAACATTCTAAAATAATAATATAAACAAGTGGATAAGTGAATTAATTTAATGTTTTGATGCAAGTGTGATTATTATATTTATTATTAATTATTATAATCCAAAAACTGGAACTCAATTTATTTTTCTTAATTATTCTTATTGCTAGGTTGTGCCATGCATATAAAAACAAACGCAGAATAATTATTAATTAACTCCTAATTGTTCTTGAGTTTAATCACTTTTTATTAGTAATTGAATTTTGAATTTTTATTAATTCGATTTAATACAGTTTTAATCAAAATTTGCCAATTTAATTTTAGCTGTAAAAAGTAATTTTTTTTTATTAATCTCAAATTTCAAGTCTAACGTCTCCAGGGCCGGTTGGCTACCCCTTCCGTCCAAAAGAATAGCCTCAATTTTGTTCACTGTTTCTATTTTATTCCTTTTTTTTATTAATTTATACTTTATTTCCTAAAATAATAAAAAATAACAATATTAGTCTATTGCTATTTCAAAATAAGATTTATTTTAAAGTAGGTATATAAAATATATCATCAATTTATTTAAATATTTACATAAAATTAAAAGAGTTTTACACAATATAAATGAATTGTATCCCTTAAATAAACATATAATATAATAAATATTTACTTTTTATAGAAGAAACTAATTTTATTTAAAATAGGAAATATTTCAAATTACAATAAAGATTTATAATTACAATAAAGATTTACAATCACAATCGTAAATTAAGCACATAATTAGGAAAATTTTCTATAATCATTGAAACAAAACTAGTAACTTAAGATCACATAAGGATCATACAAGGAAATATTAAATCTAACCAAGAAGCTCGAGCAAAGATAGATATAAACAAATTTGATCGCATCGGTAAACGAACCACAAAAGGCAATCAAATTATTGAAAGACCACCGACAAACCGCAAATCATACTCGAGCGACGTGAAAAGCTATCCACGAACACAAATCGAGTATCCAAATCCAATCTGAGGTTTCAAAGCAGAGAATATCACAAGATATTAAATAAGCGTCATTTTGATTAATCGTGGTAATGTCAAATCAACTCTTAGAAAGAAATAAATAAAAACGGCCAAAGAATCGAAATAATATCAAAAAGTATAAAAACACGTGCCATAAAGGCATATGAAAACGTGCAACACATACAGACTTACTGAAAAAAAAAATAAAAAAAAATAAAATATTAATATGATATGATATAAAAAAGAAAACGAAAATAAAGAGTATCAGTGGTCGACAACCAACATTAAAATTAGTGTCACTCTATTAACAAAGATAAAAAAAATAGATGAACGACTCATGAACGAGAAAAAAATTAGATTTTTTGGGTTTTTCAAGA